GCCAATTAATTTACAACGTGTTCATCAATTGACTCGTGTGTGTGTGTGTGTGTGTGACTTCAGGGCTGTAGTTAACTCATTTCGTCTCATTTTGAGTTTTCTCTCATTTAACCGAGAACGGATTTTGTCTGGAGGTAAAACCTTGGGCGGTTTCTGGGCGGAGGTTAGTGGCGGGAAATTCGCCACTGGTCATTGACCATGTAATGGTATCTACAATTATTAGGAGGACGCTGCACGCTTGCACCCATCCCCTTTGCTAGCTACGATCATGGACTTCATATTCTGCTATCGGAAGTATTGTTTTCGCGTCGTTAGATTCCTACAGGGGTTAATATTTAATAATGACAAAATAGTGACATAAACAATTTGTCATTATTAACCACAGACTCGTGGCTCCCTCCGCACGAACGTTTAACGGCTGAACTCTAGGAAACCCTCGGTATCTGAGTAACTATGTTTGATGTTCATGGTAAAGCAACGAGAAGCATCGCCGAGCATCCGTCCACTACTGATCGAGGTTGCTGCTACTGCTGCTGGTGATGATGATGATACGATGCCGCACGATCTCTTCAGCAGACGACCGTTAAAAAACCGCCGCATGAACACACCACCACGACGCCGCCGCCTTCTCGTTGCTGTATCGTCTTGCTCACCGTCTAACCACCGTCTTATTAGCTAGCTCGAGCGCCACAGACACCGTGCGCCGCCGCCGCCGCCGCCTTCTCGTTGCTGTATCGTCTTGCTCACCGTCTAACCACCGTCTTATTAGCTAGCTCGAGCGCCACAGACACCGTGAGCTCTCACAACAACGACGACGGCGGCGGCGGCAATGCCTATAGCCGCGCACGCGCGTGTTTGGCAGTTACGAACGTTAAACTTGCTGTTTATCAACATTCGTGGTAAACGACGCGTATACATATCGACAATCCATCAATTACTGTCCGTCCAGTGTAGACTCCGCTTTCCCCAGTTTTATTATCACAAGCTCGCAGAGAGTAAGAGAGTAAAGTCTAAGACCTGTAGACGTCCCCATGTAAGTAGTATTATCACAATCCCGCGATGGGGCAAGTTTTAGGTACATGTTTATGTACAGATCTATAAGCTGACGGTATGTTACCGTTTGCCGTCTGCTTTTTCATTTGATGGAAAGGTCTGTCAGACCCCCTGTTGAAACCTTGTTGCGCCTTATAAATCAGGCTCGCGTGATATCGGGACGCGAGTAGTTTCCGACTAGCAGCGTATATACGTAACTATAGTAACGTGTTGCCTCGACAACGAAGAGAACCCTTTGCGTAAATTGGCATATAAGATATAAAGTGTCTTAATATAGACTATATGCCATAATATGTCATAGTCAGATTATGTTATAGTCTATATTACGACACTCCTAATATAATCTCGCGTAAAACAGCACGATGGACTTCGTGTTGCCTCGACAGCGAAGAGAAAACCTTACGTAAATTGGCATATAGGATATAATCTCGCGTAAAATACCACTATGTACCTCAACCCGGGTATATAGGGTATATATCCCCTAGTATATACCAGTGTATCGCAAACTACCCAGAGCCTTACGATTACGTTATAACCAAACCTTTCTAAGTGGATTGCACTACAGTCTAACACCGCCAGTGAATCACAATACCTTATAGCGACAGTGAAATACGACAGACACCACTCTAACCCCGCCCGTGATACAGGGGCGTGTACAGGGGGGGAGGTCCAGGGCCCCCCAGACCCCCCCCCCCTGCTCGCGCAGAAAAAGCATTTAAGGGAATCTAATTTCAAAATTTTCCCTCGGGAAGGGCCACCCAGACCCCCCTTCGCGTGCTCGCAAGTTTGGGTTACAATTAGACCTCCCCTGGTACAAATCCTGTACACGCCCCTGTGATACAGCTTAGCGCACTCGAGTATGCACTCTGTTGGCCGCGCCACATACGCATATAACACAATCTATTCCAATACGATATAAATCCACACAAATCCTTTCGCAACCCCGTCTACAAGCAATACATTGAAATCTACCGAAATCCAACCAAATCCGCTGCGGTTCCAATATGGCGGCCGGCCATCATCGTTCGACGAAACTTTAATTTCGAACGCGTCGGCTGTATATGACCGTAGGCAAATGTTTAGCGTCAGTCTGTTCGTGTAACTTTATTAGAAAACAGTCGGTGTGTCGAAGGAAGCAAGCAAGCTTAGCGAGCGAGAATAGCCCGAGAGTAACCTAATGAATGAATTTTCAACACGCGCGCTCGCTGTGTTTCAGCCATAGCCGCTGCGCCAGTCACGTCGATGTTGTACAAAATAGAATAGTATTGTACAAGCCAATCGAGCAAGACAATATCAATTGCGCTAGCATGGATTAAAAAAAATGAATTTACAATAAATTGCAAAGACTGTAATATTGTGGTGGAAGAAGGGAGGGTGTCAGAGACAGATAGCAAGCGATATATAGATATGGACGAGAGCAAGTTATTGTGGGATGAACGTTTGAGACAGATAGACAGGAGGAAGAAAAGATAGAAAAGGGGAAGAACGAAAGATGAGGATAGCGCTAGAGAGGACGATAGTGAGATAAAGAGTGTGTGAGTAAGTGAGTGTGTGAGACATAGAGCGAGAGCGAGAAAGACGGGGGAAGTAAGAGATGCGATTGAAGAGTGAGAAGAGAAGGAAAAGAGCGTGAGATAGATATAAAACAGAACGAACAAAGTATAGAAAAATAGGAAAGAGAGAGCGAGATACAGAG